ATGCCTGAGCCGGTTAATATTACCTTAGCGTAAAATGGTTCAACTTTTATCTAAAAAATAATGAATAATAATTTATAATTTTATTCAAATAAAAAAATACGCACTATGTAGTCAGTAAAAGATTCGCACTTAACAATATTTAACTTTAAGAAAAAGAAAAAAAAAGATTTTTTACAAGCTGATCGCATCCTTTCAGACAGAGTTGTAAATGTTTTTACTTTAACTCTCAAGAGTACAGGACGAATGATGAATTTTAAAAGATTGTTGGGTCTGTGGGTGGTCTTAGTTTCTTTCTTTATTTAAACTCTTTCTTCTCTTACTCTTCTCTACATACATCTTCACTATACTCTCCACCATTACCATTCTTCGTAATGTATATATATATAATTCTCTTAACTCAACTATTCTCCATACCAGTGAATCGAAACCCATGGACTTAAAAAATAAACCCAACACTTAAACACCACACGATAAACTTTACAGCTCACGGTGTGACTCTACTCTGAGAAAGACTACTCAAGTTTAAGCGAATAAACTCACCAACTCACGATCTTCTCAGGTTCTCAAGTGAAACATAAAAATAGGAAGAAACAAAAACGAAAACCGTCTTCAGTCTCTGGTCTCAAGTTTATCCTAAGTATTCTTCAGTCCTTTTATATTTCTTCATAAACTCGTAAGTATCAGTATAGTGTAGTTTTCGTCAGTAGTCTTCGTTGTTAAATCTCTAATATATATCGAGTATTTCTTCTTATCATCTACTTTCAATACAACCACAGACTCAATAAAAATTCGACGAAACGATACTGATACAACTAAAAAATAAAAAGGTTATAAAATCAACAAGATATTGATAAAATATATAGTAATAAAGATACTAAGTATATTATTGTATATAATATAATACTTTACTAAGCAGAAAAAGTGTCCAGCGCACTGTACGGATAGCTGAATAAAAAATTGCTAGAGTGATCGAAGGTCAACTCGAGCACACACTGGTCCATAGCAGCGGGGGGAAAACGGGACACCACAACTGAACACCATTCACGATACGACGACAACGACGACGACGACGACGACGACGGCGAAGACGACGACGAGACGCCAGCCAACCGAGCGGTAACTGACCTACGACGATTCGTTCACCCCAACAACTAATATCATCGTACATATCATGTTGTCTCCCTAACTCGCGGACACGCAAAAGAATCAATCCTACACCCACGCACTTTAATTAAATCTAACTCACTAAAAACTTACTATTCGTAGTTTGTTTCCTTTCTTCTTCTTCTTCTTCTTCTTCTTTCTCTTCTCAATCTTATACTATTTTTCTTATTATTTCTTCTTTTTGTAATCGTCGAATAACTCGTATTATATCACTGGGTCTTTAATAAATAATAAATAAAAGTAAAAAAGGTGACTGTTGACAAAGAACACGAAATGACAACCGGCGACAACCGCGACAGAGACGGCAATGGCCCCGTGACGGTGGTTTTAACACTCGCCATGCCAAAGCCAAACCCGTTCGCGTTAGTCTTCTCCCCACTCTCGAATCTTTTTCAGTATCCCCTCTCTTTACTCTTTACTCTTTATACGCTTGTACTTGTACTTCACTTTAATACTGAACTCTCAATATAATACAAAATACATACAACACAGAACACAACCAAGTCAATATAAGTAAAATGAAGATTCTTCTTTTCTTCTTCTTGATGTATATGAACTTACATACAAATAAGTCTAGCAAGTATTATGTGTAGACATATGCCAGTGTTTTGATGGTGTTACTTCTTATTCCTGCCGATTTAACATCGGTGTGGTTGGCGCTAGCGTCTTGTCGCGCGGGAACCACACAGGAGAACCGGTAAATCTTTCGCATGAAGAGGAAATGCCAACGAACTCTTACTCGTCTGCACACTCTTTTCTTCTCTTTCTCATCTTTGTTGGTACGTATTTTATTATATTATATTATATTATATTATATTTACACATAACATATAACAGGGATATTGTACCAAGTGTGTGTATGTGGGTAAATGTATATTTTACAGGTTAGGTTAGAGTGTAGAGTTAGTAACACGATACTAGATAGGAGCTTCGAACTTTAAAAGAACGTCAGCTGATGATAAATTCGCTCTCAGTATCGACGATGCGGACGCGGTTGGCTGGAAGTTAGAAGGACATCGGTATCGTGGTTAACCCATTTAACCATCGAACGTTCCACTCCCTCGTCCTTGCTCCCATAATACTGACGGAAGTGTCAAAGCTGGCAAAGTTATTCTTGCGTTGGTACTGAGACTGGTACTGCGGTGCATATATATCAGCAACGATAATAAAAAAAAAGACATTTAAACTGAGTATTAATATATGCACTGTGCAAATACGAACGATGAATTGACGACGATTCCATTGCGCAATTAAAATGCACTTGGTCGTTAAACAATGCCGAGAAAAAGAAATAAAAGTTGTGAACCGATGTGTTTATCCTCGGACGCTCTTCGTGCCATTCTGCCACCTCGAGGTAAAACTCCGCCTTTTTCTTATCTACCTTGGTGGTTTCTCTACGCTAAGGGACCATTGCTAAATGCTAAATCAACCCTGGTGCAATTAAAAGTCTGGGTTTTAAAAATAAAAATAAAGAACTAACGAAACATTTCATTCTTATCTTTAGGTAAACTTTTATAACAGTACGGGTTTAAAGAAGAAAATAAAAGTATTAACAAAATCCTATCCGGTGCATAACAGTTGGAGGGTGGATACGAAGGAAGGATGTGAGTTGTGAGTTGTAAGTGCATACTCGGATATAATACTTATTATATATACTTGCAGCAATGATTGGTATAGATATATTGAGATGTATTGAGTTATAAGTTTAAATTTAACTCGTCATTGAGTTTCATCGATTCGATAATCGTATCAATTCACGAAAACTTTCACCCAATCTTGTATGGTACGCCCGGAAGAAAGTGTAACTCGATCTCCAGTACATTCTCAAAGACACTTTTTTAATATATACCTACATATATAGTGTTGTCTTGTCTTGTCTTCACTTGTTGTTCATTTGCACATGTTATTATACACATGCAACATGAAAGATAGAGACGAAGAGTAATGATGATGGCAAAACAAAAAGAATATAAAAAGTTGAGTAAAAAATTGCAAAATGTGCGTTTCTGCTGGATGATGGAGTAGTTGGACAACGTGCTTATTATGTCGAGGCAATAATACCAGCTCCGAAGTATACTCTGGACGTTATTAAACACCCGTATAATAATCGACCCTGCGATCATTGAATTATTGAATTAGTGGTTGATCGAACAAGCAAAGGAAAGTCAGACTCAGATACAGAGATCATGCATCGAACACAGCACCCACGAGTATGCGTGTCTTGCGCTTGGGAAAGCTTTCATGCATCCTGAGCTCAGAAAAATTATCCAGGTAAAAAAATTAATAATCAATCTTGTATATAATCGCGTAATAAAATATTTTTAATTAAACTGATCCACTCCTTTTTCAGCGTGACGACCGGAATGTTGGTAAAGAAGCTATCTATTCCTGTTTATTTTTTAATTAGATTATTTTAGTGAAACCAGTGACTGACAAAAATATAATTTTTGTCAATTTCATTTTTGAGATTTTATAAATTAATCATCGAGAAACTGCTAGAGATATATAGTAAAGTCAACTTTGATTTTAATTTAAGGTTAACCTTTTATTGTTAGCTAGAAGTCGATCAAATCAACTTTTCGACTTGAACAACTCTTTCAACTTCAGCGATAAATTATCATATAGTATAGTAACTTCCTATTGCTTTTATCCTGTTTTTCAAAAATCGAGTTTCCATCAGATGTCGACGTTTTGAGGTCTTAGGAAGCTTCCTTTTTTTTTTTTTTTTGTTTAAATGTTTGTTTTAAAATTAAAAAAGCCATACAATTTTTTGAATAATAAAAATAAAAATCATTTGAACAAAAAAAGACCGCAGTTTACAGTACGCACAAGTTTTGACTCACTGTTTTTTTTTTTTTTTTTTTTTTATATTAATCTGGTTCTAAAAAAAAATTGTTTTTGGTGCAGCCGAGGCTATAGTTTCACTCGTTCGTGTGATAAGAATTTTTTGATTTTATGCAAAAATAGGAAAAAAAAAACCATATCTTTACTCTGTAAATTAAGGACTTACAAACTAACTAAATAACTAATCACTATCAGCTAAGGAATTATTTACAAATTGTACACTATTTACAGAGCTTAGGAAGCTTCCCTGACTATTCCCGTGATAATGTCCGTATGTCTGTCTATCTGTGTGTGTGTGTATGTGTGTGGATGTATGTAAACCTCTCATAACTTTTTAACCACGTCTATCGCCGCCGGGCTGGTCGAAATCGGTTGATTGGTTCGTGAGTTATCGTTGACAAAAAAAATCGAAAAAAAGTGATTTTTTAAAATTACTCCAAAACTTTCGGTCTGATCAATTGCTGTTTAAAAGTAAATCATAGGATTCAAGAAACTGCGTTAAATGCTACTAACCGCGTGAAAATCGGTTTATTCATTCAAAAGTAATTGCCGTTTGAAAATTTAAAGAATAGTATTTTATTAAACTCCTATCAGAGTTTTGAGCTCGAAGAGCTCAAAAGCATAGAACAATTATCACAGTAAAAAATTTTTCGTCATTGTGTAAAGTGTAAAAATTTTTGTGTAGAATATTACACTCTAGTGTGTAGAATTTTATATTTTCATATGTTGATTTAACATACTAGAATGTAGGAATTAACATTAGTTTGTGTAAAAACAGTCAGTAATACAAAAATGTATGTTAAATTCGACGAAAATTTTTTTACTGTGTAAAAAGTCGAAAAGTAAACTTTTCGAATCGATTGATAAACTTTAAAAGTTTAAACTATTATAATCGATCATAAAGTATTCGTTAAATAATTATCTTGAGTGAGATTTTTAGATTATCCAGATCATTCACCCCTGAATTTTTATTAATTTATTTTCGTTCATTATTATTTCAATAGACTTACCATATTGGAGACAGTACTCTTGACTTGGGCGAGTAATTGTGAGGCAGGAGACAGATAAGACTCGACAAAATTGTCAAGATTGCCATGATAAGCGCAAACAAGGATGTCACGTGCCTGTCGAGTCAATAGATCCAGGACATTTTCACCATAGATAGGACCTAGCAGACTTCGTACAAGTGATGCAACATCACCACGTCCCTAAGATAAATTTAATAATAATAATAATAATAATAATGATAAGAATATATTAGGTATGATGTGATGTTATATATGTGTATATAGAGATATAATGTAATAATAGCTAAGTAAATTTAATATTATATATGATGTCTATGAAGATTCATCAAGTACTAGGGGCCGGAAGAAGCAAAGAAGCAGCCTGCGGGTAGATTGTCATGACACGTGGGAACTTCCTCTGATGATTTGCTTGCACGCGTGGGTTTAAACTAAACAGCAGGGGACATTGTACTCCCCACGTCAATATTTGGAGAGTTTACACGTAGCACGTTACAAATAATACAAAGGACATGTGTTGTTCAAGAGCAGGATGTGCAGTTTATAAATATATTTTGCACACAGGGGACACACTAAACTAATATAGTGAGTATATATATCTCTAATGAATAGACAAACTAAATAGGTGTGTGGTAACACCGTTTATGTGTCTCTAATTCAAAAAACCACAGGACACATGATAAACTGCAGTGACATGTGCGTTTAAGTAATAATAAAAGAGATAAAAAAGTACATATGAATAATACAATATCAGTATTTAAGTCGGGCTGCACGTGCATTGGTGGTTGGATACGAGAAGGTGATTTATTTATTCAGGCATCAAGTTAAACATTCAAAAGCGTTAATTCCGCGTGATTTATTCCCCGCTGGGGGCCAATCCAAGCCAAGAGGTAATACTCTCGTAAAATCTCAAGCCTTTTAAGCAATTTTGTAATTTTTCTTTCGCTCCTCGTTTAAACGATGACGACGTTTAAGCGGTACAACATAAAAGAACATTTACCGCAAAGATGATGCACAAAAAATATCAAGAAGAAAAGCAACAAAAAAAATAAAAGAAAAATAAACTATGATGCTGAACAAGAAAGATGAAGAGGTGAAAAAAAAATAAAGAAAATAAAATGTTTTTATTTTTTGATAAGTCGTTTTTCAAAGCTCGATGATGGGCACCCCGTTGCGAGAAAGACTCATCGTTGATGGAAGGAATAATATATATCTTTCTCGCTCTTAATTTATATTCAGCAATGACGAGACTGCTTTGAAAATTGAAACAGCCAAGATGCAGATATACTTGATGGTTTACATTCGTACGTATATATGTAGATATATTTATAATAATATTTATGCGTATATATTGCCATATGTTTATGGGATGAATATGTATAGATAAAATAATATAATATAATATAATAATAAATGAGATATTGCCAGCAGGGTAAAGCGAAAGCGAGCGAAAAGGTTGATGGTGATGACGGACACTGTGAAGATAAATTTAACGGTGATATAGTTATTTTGTTACGCTAAAAATCTAAATAATAACGATAAAAATGGTTAAGAAAGAGTTAATGCCGATTACGATTGATTGAGTGAAAGACTTGGGAAACTTATTTATTTATTTATTTATTTATGTAGATGCTGTTGCTATTGGAAAATTAGACAGTCAAAGCTTATAGAAAGTTTTTAATGGATATAGAATTCAAGTTAATTCTGTGCTATTTTGCGGATACTAAAATTAAAAATTTACACATTTTTATTGCTTAAAGTTATTTGTTGCATGTTTGTATTTTAAAAGATTTACTGCAGTTGTCATAACCATAACCATAATCATAACTATGTTCATGATTAATTTAATAAACTCCTTGTTTTATTTTATTTTACTATGTTTCATTGTAATAACAATGTTCATACATGCCGTGACACACAGTATAAATTGTATTAAATTACTTTTAACAATTACAGCATGACTTATTGTCTTTTGTGTTTAATTAATTTAAAAATAAAAAATATTAATGTTAAGTATCGATTTGCTCAATAGCACAGAATACATGAATCATAAATTATATTTTAAATTATATATATATATATAATATAAAATGTCTGTCAGCATACTTGTGCAAAAACTGGCAAGACCTATTTAAAGAGCAATTAGCACATAATTAAAAATATAATAAAAACAACGAATATGCAAACTTACTCCAGTTGATAATGAGTATCCAGGTATTGCTTTTTCTTCATTAATTTCACTTTCATCTTCTAAATTATTTAAATCTGTTAAAATATCAACATTACTTTCTAATTGCAGGTCTGATTCATCAACAAATCGATCTCCTGTTATACTTGTAGAATCAAGAAGACTTTCAGAGCCAAATTTACGTTGCGTTGAAGCAGGTGGCGTAGCCTTAGATTCATAATTTCTAGTCAGTGAAGTCGCTCTAGTTGGTAGAAGATCATTAAAACATTCTTCTTCAGCTTCTCTGGTTGGAATTCCAGCGTTATTAGACACCGTCGACTCTTCCAAGTACCAGGAAGATGATGCGGACCGTCTGGTGGTTCTACTTCTACCAGTACTCCCAGTAGTATTACAACCAGAAGCTGTTGGACGTTTTCCACTACTATTTCTACGAGTATCATCATCACGAGATGACAGTGCTCCTTTGCACTTCCTCAGGTAATTTTTAACTTTTTTAGCTCGGCTTTTACGATTCTCATTATCACGATTTATTTTAACAGGTTCCGATGTCGATTCATTAACGTCATCTGTCTTCGTTGTTGTAATTGTTATTATGGTGGTTGTTGTTGTTGTTGCTGCTGCTGCTGTTGGATTACTATCATGGTTAATATCTTTCAAATCTTTATTACCGATTTCTACAGTATTGATCTCAGGTGCTAGACTCCAGGTCTCTAGTTCTTTATTGGGTGTTTGAACACGCTCTGCCGGTATTACCTGAAACAATAATTGTCTCTATAAGCACATACTGTTTAGTTCATATATAAATATATTTATATATATATGTAAATACATATACGTAAATAGTTAATAGTTTATAAAGTAAATGCAAAGAGAAAAGTCCCGAGTAAAAGGCGTGGGAGCGAGCGGTACTGAGTTTAGTTAAAGTTGTATCGCTATATAGCGACGATAAGCGATTAAACCCGTCTCTGTTTTATTTTTAACTAACTAAAGAAGATTTAAATTAAAAATAATAAATAAGTAGATATAAGACGGAATCGTTAAAACTAGATATAATACAGCTCGACATCATTCGTCTTATAACATCAACAAATGTACATATATATAAATATATGTATATATAGTTACTCTTAACTTATAAAACTAAACGTACAGTAATATAGTAGAGTAAAGTTAACTGGCCGCTTTTATAATACTTTTATCTCGTAATTTACTATAACCAAAGAGGGAAAGTTGTTTGCCACAAATCCCTCTAGCCATCTATCTAAAATTTTTTCATTATTATTTAAAACCATCACTTCGACCCCTTCAATGTTAAAAGCTAACTTTCATTTGTAAACACAAACGGTATTTATACATACGTGTATATAGTTATTAATTTTTATTAAAATCACGGATTAAATTGATAAATAAAAACCGAATCTATCCGGGATCTTTTGACATAAACTTAACATAGATATTCAAGTATAAATAAAAGTTGTCGGTGTATGAAGAATATATAGCCAACGTGACATGCGCGTCCACACAAGGCACCTATTTCACCTTTTATAACGATGGATTTATCGACTCCACATGCTTTACCCTCCACCCTCGCAACTTACATACTCAACCGCTATAACTTGCTGCAAGACTATTTTACATCCTCAATCGAGTGTAAACAGAAGCAAAAAAGAGCTTTCCTATGAGCTCATTTACTGGATAAGTGAAGAATATACATATATGTGCATTCATGTATATATATATATATATATATATATAAGTGTGAGTGTACCTTCTTACGACGTAGCAGCTTCCAGTCAAAGTGACTCATCTCGTTGTTTAATATTTTTACCAAACTCTTCTCAATACATGTGTATTTATTACATATATGTATGTATATTCTCGGTACACTCACAGCGATGTTCAAACGAGTGTCTGAGAAAATCACGAGTAGAAAATTGATCCTACAAAGTGCTCTCACGACTCCATTTACTCATCCTCTTTAGAGTAGATACTTGAGGAGGATTTAAACGAACAGGACAAGTCAATGACTTTGTCTCTACAAGACAAGTCTCTGGGGATACTGTCCATTCACAATCCATCTTCACTTATTCAATTCACATTATTATTTTATCACGATTTTTACATTCAACTTTTGACTTTTTACTTATTTATTTATTTATTTATTTATTTATTTTTTCCAGATCATACAACTTGTAGGTACAACATACTTGAGACTACACCCGACACGGTTACACGTTCTTAATTAAAGGCATTATAATGAACTAACCGCAAGTTTATTATAGGGCGTGTTGCGTCAAAGAAAGTGAGGTATCACGGCCGTGCTTGCGACTCAAGCTCCAGGTCATGAACTAGATCTATTGGGAGTCGAGCATGCGCGAATTCTTAAACTTCAACCCCTTGGCAAGCACCCTCAAGCACACCGGTCTCAATTGCTCCACGAGCCATGACTACTGTTACTATATTCACTTATAACTTAATTATCTTTATTATTACTTTATCACGTAATATTGAACCAAAGCTTAACGCATAAAGTCAATTTCTTAGAGGTAATTTAAAAAAACATATTTTTAGATTGATCCGGGAATCCCGGTAATACCGGATGTCTGGTGTACTTGAAATGAATTATAAAATACCGCATAGTGAGTCTTGTGGCGGCATCTCTGGTCTTGAATAACCACTCTTTGCCTCTGCCTCTGCCTCTACCTCTACCTCTGGTGATTTAATTTCCTATGGAGATAATTCGTCCTTAAACTTTTTCCGCATACATACACATTTATAATACTACTACTAAACACTTTGTAAGTGTAATCGCAGCGGAAAGGAGGGACACACAAATTACAACTCAAATGACAATGAAAAATTATCTACTGGTTAGATAATAACCTAGTCACGTAATTCAACTATTAATTAACACAACTCACTAGTATTTAAATATTACTATTATTATTGATATTATCTGCATTATTTGCATAGATTGTAATATAAACGTGCATTTGATTCCGGTATAAACATATGTAACTGAGAGGATGAAGAAAATTTTGTCTTCAAAAAATCCATATGATTAAATTTTATAGTTTAAGTTAGTACCATAAAAAAGATCTTAAGCTGAATTAAAAAATTTTTATAGTTTTGTATGTTTGCAAGCAATAGTTCATTTAATATTTCAAGTTTCCGGAGTAGATCTAATTAGATTCGAATTACTCACTAGATAAAATTAGTATATTTTTTAATCATTTTATTTTGTATGCGTAAATGTGATTAGGTGTGAAATTTTAGTAATTAAAAATTTAATCAAAAAAAATTGTTTAGGATCGTTTTATGTTTAAATAAAAATGAAGAAAATGACTCTCTCGAGTCAAGAGAAAATATTCTTGAGCTAAAAAAAATTTACTTATTCCAAAAATAATTTCTTGGCTTAAGAAATTTTTTTCTCGACTCAAAAAAATCATTTTCTACAAAACGGTATTCTTGGTTTAAGATTTTTCCTCTTAAAAGAAGTTAATTTTTTTAATCGAGTATAATGTATATTGACCGATGAGGAGTTGGATGGAAGTTGATATAATTAATTACATAAACTAATTAACTGTGTAGATAATTTTTGGAATTTTTAATTGTTGTCTACTCGTTCTGTGGCGTTAGCTGAAGCAATTTTGCAGACTATTTGTAGTAATAATATGTAATTTAATTTTGATTAATGTATAAGACACGTAATTTAGTTTAAATATGCCTTGTAATACAGTACCAATGGTCAATTTTATATTGTGGAACTGTTAGCTGCAAGTTGGTTCCATGACATTGTTTAACAAATTATTGGTAATGAATCTTATGATAACGATATTATAAATTTAAAAAATTTATTTCGTTGGTGACGAAAATTATTTATATTAAAAAGTTTCTTAAATTATAATTTTAAGCTCTCAGCAGTCACACAGTGATTACGGATTGCTAGTATATGATTAACAGATAATTGATAATGTATGATTAAATGGTTAATAATATTTATTAAAAAAGGGTGTCAAGTGCATAAAAAAAAAAAAAAAGTTAACATAACAAAATAATAAAAATAATGACACCAGTATAGTACGGTAATAAATAATAAATGTAAAATAAGTAAAAATGATAACGTTAACATAGGCATGTCTTATATGTAGTAAAATGTACGCGTGCGATTTGCGGAGGAGTATAAACGTAAAAGTAAAAAGAGTCTTATAGTTTTACTGTTTGGCGAATGCAGGAGCCAACTAAGGAGCGAAGCGTTTCAATTTATTGCCTTCACGATCCTCGAGAGTAGTTATATCCCGCGCTCTCATATATACCTTTGCTGTTCCTCTATGTTCTGTGTGTGTTGTATATGAGCTTCTCCTTTTATATATACAGTTATCTCACTCGTGTGAGCGTCGAGTTTAATAACGCAATAAATAAAGATACGTATCAACTCGACCGCCGACGTCGTTTGTACACGATAAAAATTACCGAAAAAGATTCGAAAAATTATATGCATTTTATCTTCTTAGTATTTTTTTTTTATTCTTTTATTTCAATACTTTAATAATATTATAATTATAATTGTAATTATTTATCTCTTACGCAGAGTCTTTTCTGTTTCGTCAATTATTTTTTATTTATTGGATTTTTGTTTAATTTAAATATTATTATAATTTAATGATGTTAAAGTGTAATTGTAACTACGATGGGATATGGCATGAATTATATTTTTTGGTACACACAATAATATATTAATATAGAGGGAAACAGAGTCTCACGCTCTCTTACATGCATATATATATATACATTGTGGGTAAATAATAATTAGTATTAAATCATGTGTGACATATAAATAAAAAAGAAAATTATAAAGATAATATGTATATAAATGTTTAAATTTACATATTTTACGTTTGTTGATTCATGCTTTTTAAATTTACGGCTCTAAAGAAAAAGTTTTATTTCAAACAAGTCAAAATAGTAAGTTATTTATTGATGGAAATGAATTTAATAGTTTAAGTGATTATTTTTCTGGAACAAAAAGATAATAAAACCGACGAATGGGAAATATTGTAATTTTATTAACAAAGTTAAAAAAAAAAAATTTTAATGAAAATTAGGAAAAAACTAACAAAATTGTACTTAAATTCATTGAAAGTTTGAAATGACAAATATAATTTAAAATTGCTTAATAAAAGTTTAGAATCGTAATTGTCTTTAAGTTATTTTAGGGCTTATTGATAAAAATGATAGATAATTTCATATAATTGTTTTAATAAAATTTTCGATAGTTTTTATTAAAAAAATTAGTGTAAAATATGTAATAGTTTTTAAAAAATTACGATTTGTTGTCATTAGAATTGTTAATCTTAAAAGGAATTCAAATCTTCCAGCAACTGTGTTTAAATGATTTCACAAGAATTAAATATCGATTGAAATTTAACAATCCCTCAAGTATTGAATACTTTTTCGATAAAAACCTTTACTCCAGCAGAGAGGAGAAGGCACTAGCTATTTGGTACTTTTACTTTTCTTCAATCGAATAGAGAATTTGTATTGAATTTTTTTTTAAATAGGACAATTGAAATCCCCTCGAAAAATACTGATTTGTGTAATCTTTTGCTTTCTTCTTTTATTACATTGATCGAAATGCCTAATCGAGAAGCCAAAAAAATTTTATAATCGCGTAAATTTTATCAAGATATAAAAGAAAAAACAGACTTTGTTTTTAGAGAAAATCAATTATATAAATAAAAATCAAGTAATTAATTTATTTAAGAAAATCTATAATAAATAAATTATTATAAAAGAATTTTTGAACCATTTTTAGGTTTTACAAATTTTATCATAAACTAGCTGACCCGGTGAACTTTGTATCACCTACAATACAGTTTATTACACCTTTCGAACAGCAATTATCAATCTTTAAACTCTAATCTACTTCGATAAAGAATAAATACTGGCTGTATGAAGTGCAGTTAGAATTTTGTCAAGTTCTTAAATAAAGCTCGCTTCTCATTATCGCCTGAAAATCAAGATCCCAAGAAATAAACACTGAATTGATGAATTTTTTTTTGTCCATATATCCAAAAGATAGACGATTAACAATTTTAGATCTGTTGATTTCCTTAGCTGAACTTTTGGGTTTTTCAAAAATTTTATTCTTTCGAAAACATCTCTGAACTATAGCGAACAAAGCAACAAAGAAAATTGTTGAAATCGGTCCAGTCGTTCTTGAGTTTTAGCGAAACTAACGCACAGCTATTCATTTTTATATATATATAGATTTCAAATGGCCTAATTTTTCATTTTGAGATTGTAGGTCATTAAAATTCTTATCGAACCTATGACGTTTTTTACAAATTTATTCATACGAAAAATTGTAAAATTTATATTAAAGCACGTTTTTATGTATGAGATAATTTGTTAATTGTAAAAAAAAAAATGCGAGGCGAAAGTAATCTGTTGAATCACGAAACAATCCCCTAATAGGATTTTTTCTGTCAGCGTAATGATATACTACTAGCTTCTCTGTATTGATTAAAAAATTAACGATACTTTGGTTCCTAAGAATCGAAACCCGGCGTCCCTTATTCGGCAGCACGCATAAAACTTTGAAAAGTAAAGCGTATTTAACAAAAAAAAAATACACTCGAACGATCGCAAAAAAATGTTAATTACATAAATAAGCCACTTATTTCGCTCTGTAAAAATACCATTTGTGTGTCCAAAAATTTTTTCTCTTAATTACTTAAATGAGTCGGCGAATAAAAAATAGAAAACTGTTTCTACTTTTGAGGAGTAATAACTGATCAATCCCTTTATACTTTCAAATTCACTATAAATACCTTTTACCAGTCATTCGCTTTCGTAGGAACTTAAATTATCATGATTCGTCAAAAAATAACAAAACAACTCTACCTATGTATAATAAGCGACATTTTTATAATTTTATTTAATTATCAATTAATTAAAAATTTTAAACCACCAATTGATTATTTATATCGAAAATTATTTCATTTTATTACATGATCTCAAAAAAGTGAAATTACTTTTTTATTAATCATTGAAAAAAATTTCTAAAAATTCATTA